CCCCCCCCCCCCCCAATACCTACAATTGACTTCTTTTCAGCCTGACATTTTCTTTTTTCTGGTAGAAGTGGCAGAAACATTTCAGCAGGGGGAACCAAGATCAAAAAAGGCTTTGCTAAATGTGGCCCCTCTCTAATCTGGAGGATTATATTCTCATGTCTATCTCCTTAGCCTCGTTCTGCTTGTTCTTCCATTGGCAAGAATGTGTAACCCTACAGCAGTATTTCTCAACCTGGGCAACCTTAAGATGTCTGGACTTCAACTCCCAGAATTCTCCATCCAGCATGGCCATCGCTAAGAATTCTAGGAGTTGGAAGTCTACAGATCTCAAAGTTTACCAGTTCGGTATACGCTACCCTCTAGCATCCGTGTCTAAGGAAATGAAGGGAGAAAAAATTACTGGGACTTTTTATTTCAACATCCTTTCCCTTGCTTCTCCCTACTCTCCAGATGTTGAGAGAGCTTGATTTTAGAGAGATGGGTAACCATTTTCATGCCATGTACATAAATATCAAAATGGTGTGTGGGTTATCTATGTTCCATTTGCAAGTCTGTACACATATGAACTTGTCCTTCCCAACCTGGTACCTTCTGGATGTATCTGGGGTGATAGTTCCCCAAATTCCCAGCCAGTATGGCTTTAAGATATCCTGGAGAAGTATTCTTTGAAAATACAGTACCTGAGAGTATGTTATATAGATGAAATTAAAAAAATGTTTTCTCCATTTACTTTCTTAAACAGTTACACCTTAGAAAGTAACCATATGGTTTGGCTGAAGGTAGGCCTCCATCTCCAGATCTGCACTGCATCTACAAGCATAGTCTCTACACCAAAAACACATGGGAATCATCTTGGTTTGAAATAGCGTAGCAAACTGTTTGACCCTGGAGATGAAGTCTGCCCTTTCTTCGTGCCTTGGAGCATCCCAACTTTGCTGCCGTGCATTTTGGAAACAGATTTTTGGCTCTTCCATTCTGCCAACAGTTCTTTCTGCATCTCAGCAGGCAGCTCGGAAAATGTTTTTGGATCAACAGAAGGAGGAAGGACCACTTTTGAGCCTTCTCTCCAATCTTTTTGGGAAGAGTCTTCTCCAGGGGGATTTTGCCTTTCTAGTGGTGGTTCTTCATTGATGGGCGCCATGCCATGAAATGCCAGAGCCCTAGTAGTTTGAGAGAGGTCTCCAGAATGCAGGGGAACATAGTTTACTTTGGCTTTTGCATGGCATGGTAATTCTTCCCTCGATTCAGATACTCCACGGCTCCACAAAGTCACTGTGGAATCTCTGTCCTTCTTTTGGCTAGAGATTATTTCCTCCTGAATGTCACTTGGAAGCTGGTTGAACACATCGTAATCTACTCCAGCAGGAAGCAGGTGACTTGGGCATTCAAGATCACTTGCTTTTGGCAGACAAGAGGTTTGTAGCTGAGATTTCACACATCTTGTGCTGCTTTCTTCTGGTAAAGCATCACTGAACTCCTCTTGATGTTCCATACTTGTGTGTTCTGCCTTTCTGTCTTCAGCTGTCTGCATAACAAGTGAGACATCTTTTAGACTACATACAGAAAAGAACCATCATCCTTCTATAATCATATTATATGCATGATAAATTGTGGACCCCTCACATATTGTAGGTACAGTATGTTCAAATATATGTATTCAAATAGAGTTTTTTTTTTTAATACGCATTAATGCAAAAGTGAGACAGAACAGACATGAACATCTGTGAAAGTGACATGGACTGGGAGCAAACCAATCTACCCACCTTGGTTAATCCTGGGGTGGAGACAGATGGACAAACAAACCTGATAATCAGATATTCTTAATACAGTTTATCCAGGTATTAAGAAATGAGCTAATTTAGGATATATTGCTGCACTAATAAATATTTATTCTATACCCTAGTAATTGCCAAAAGAAAATGAAAATAACATACTAAATAGACAAAGAGCTATCAACAGGCAATCTTAAAAAAAAAAAGTCACATTGAAAATGCAGCATGCTTGTGAAGAACCAAGTCAGAGTATGGCTGCATTATTAAGCCAAACCACATAATGACTTAGATATGAAAACCCAGCCATTGTCGTTTCTAAATTGTGGTTTATATTTTTGTCTATTGAACAAGCCCTATTGATTAACATTCACTCAACCAACAATTCTTAAATAAGTTTTAAGTTAGGGTGAGGTACAATTCTCAGCTATCCTTTTTTTCTCTCAACACTTTTAAGCAAAAATTCTGTTCTGCTGACACCCTTGGTCATTTTTAGAGAGGCCTGAGTGTATATTTATTATTATTATATTAAAATTGTACCACTTGACATACCGTGACTCTGGGCAGTTTACAAGTTAAAAAAAAATACAGAAAAAACGAAACAATACAATAATAAAAACAAGGAACAAAAGATGGCAAGACCTGGGCAAAACAAGAAACACACCCACGCCACCCAGAAGGGGGTTTCAGTCACTCTCACCAAAGCCTTGGCAAAGAGTCAGGTCTTCAAGGCCCTCTTCAACACCAGCAGGATGGGTCCTTTCTGATCTCAGGGGAATCTCATTCCAGAGAGCAGGCTCTGTAACATATATATTAAAAAGTGTAGAACTTACATGAATGACTTTGTTGCAGCTTGAAGTAGGTGATGACCGAGTCAGGTAAAATTGAATAGACTCCTTAGAAGAAGCCGGTGGGGCTTTAAGGTTGGAAAAGTGGATGCTCAGTAAGGTTAGATGAAACGGAACCTCAACGTTTATCATTTTTCGAAACAGTTTCATAAGAATGGAAACGAGGTGAGCCTTTACACTGGTGTCCTCTGGAAATAAAGGATGGAGAAGAAAAGCATGTAAGCAGACCTTTACTCAACTAAGGAGAAAGCTATATGTTCAAAACAAAACAAAACCAAAATACCCAACCCTGGATAACAAAGGAATGGAGAGATGCAGAAATTGGTTATTTTTTTAGAACGAAGGCATTGGTGAAATTAAAAGGCAAGAAATAGGGGAAACATCAACACTGTGCAATTCATGCAGAACTCCAACCTGCAAGAATAGCTCTGGGAAGATGATGAGTGGATGAGTTGATGACAAACAATGAATGCCTTCAGTACTGATTATTGCCAAGCTCAACATGACTGGGAACCTGCTGGCACCTGACAAATTGAATTCCTGTTCCCCAAGTGGGAGTCCTCCAAGTGCAAGCCTCAAGCCCACTAACCTTTTAAGGAGCTTAAGGACTGACATTCCCTGTCAAGCATGGTGATCTAGTTTCTGTGAAGGAAAGCTATCAGGCTGGCTGGGACTGAAAAGCTTGGGAAGAAGATGAAGGATGTCCATGTACAAAGAGGCAGTGAACTTGAGAGGAAAGTGGCTGACTGAAAGAGGCAAGGACAGCAATGAGGATTTGGGACAAAGGTTCATAAAATAATGGAATAGAGGTCCTTGGGCAGTATCTGTCTTTGAGCACCAACTGTAGACATGAGGACCTGGGGTGATATACAAATGAGCATCATGGAGATCTGCTTGAAATGGAGACTTGTTCAGTGGGTTCAGATATGGTGGAACTACAACTCCCAGAATTCCAAGACAGTAGGGTCTTAGCAATGTTGGGGGTTGGAATCCCAAGAAATTTGGAGGGACCAGGTTAGAAAAGTTGATATAAGTCCAGTGCTGCACGTTACTGGGTAAATGAGGAAGACGAGTGGGAAAGGGGCAATATATTCATGAACTCTCTAGAGCTGTGTTTCTCAACCTTGGCAATTTTAAGATGTATGGACTTCTGGGAGTTGAAGTCCACACATCTTAAAGTTGCCAAGGTTAAGAAACACTGGTCTAGAGTATCAAGTCAAAGGAGCAAATTAAGGCCCCATGAAGCATAATTACCTGTTCCAATCCTCTGGGCCAAGTGAGATGGAATAGGACACTGACGGCTCTCCCGATTAAACCATTTATTGGTATCAGAAAACTGACGGATGATTAATCTGATGGTATGTGGCTTTCTGCCATCCTTGTACAACCTGTTGAACACAACAACCAACACGGCCATTTCAGTCTGGTCTGGCCCAAGAAACAGATAAGTATTCCCTCCCCATTTAGAATGGTAATCCATGTCAAGCATTTATGCAAACTGGCAATTAACCAACAGGCATGATCTCTTGGAGGATCATGAGTAATTTGCAGAACAAAGGAAGCAGCAAGGGAAATGGTAGATTGAGGAGAAGTGACTGCTTACTTCTGTGTTCCTCAAACTGGTACACTCCAGATCACTGGGCTATACTTCCCTGCCAGCTTGGCCTATGCTTTAGCACAAGACCTATGGAGACCTCCAGGAACAGCCCAAGAAATTTACATTGCTTTGAGGATCTGCAGGTGATCCTTTCTCATGTTCCTGCCATGCCAACTGCAGGTCAAGGACAACTATGACTCCACTGAAAGGACCCTGTGGTGAAGAAGGGGTTAAATCTCAAGCTGAAGTGTTTCAAATGCAAATAACTAAAAAAATGGACTGAACATTTTACTTGTGATCTCATTATGCTACTGCTCCACCCACTTTATACATACACACAGCATTCCCCAGTTCCCAAAATCTTGCTCAGCCCCCAAATATTTTGTAACTGTTTAAGTTAATGTCACCTGTCTAAAAGGTTAGTGAGCAATTCTTCAATTTTCTTTTTAACTTCTGCTTCAGAAGAGCACTTTCTAAAGGTGTCCTCATCACTGAGAGACTGCAAAATAGTATTTAAAAATAAAACAAGGATGACTGTTATTATAATTTGGACAAATAAATGCACAAGTCATATAAAAAGCAAAAAATCATGTATTTGTAAATTCATAGTTGATTTTTTCTGCCCAAAAAGCTTCCTTTACAAGAATTCAGAATATTTTGCTGTAAAATTATATTATTTCAAATAGGCCAAACATACTTTTTCTGATTAATCCTCTGTTCTTATTAAAACACAGGTAAGATATTCACTGTTACAAGGGGGAAGTATAGGGGGAAAATCTATTATTTCAAAAAATTGATCTGTTTTTATATGATGCTAGGTTGTGACTTAACTATGGTTTATTGAATAAACCATAACTGCCTGCCCAGCATACTAGGCCCTAGATCAAAGCACACCTGCCTGATGTCTTTAAGAACATCAATGGAACTTTAAATTTTTAAAAAATGCCTAAGTCCTCCTACATTGTCATAAACTATGGCTTATAAACCACAATAGCTGAGTTCATGCAACCACTAAGCCAGAACTAAGTACAATTGTTTAGTCCGATGTGTAGACATGTAGGATCTCTTCCTAAGAAATGCAGCTGTTTATTCAGTTATATATACTGTATGGGAGAAAATTTCTCAAGGTAGTTCTCCAGACGCATTGGGGCCACAAATTCTGGAGGCCCGATTTACACAACTCTGGCCTTTGCTGAGTTGGAAATCAAGAAGCTGTACTCTTCACAACTGGAGAGCCCCACATTGGAGACAGATGCCTGGGGACTGAACAGAATTCTCAGACATAAGGGACAGGGCAAGTCTTGTCTTGTGATGCTGTTTTCAGTTCTACCTGAGGATCTCTTGATGGGACGACTGGAGAGTGGTCTTCTCCCCGGCTGAGCTTCTGGATGAGATGTGCAGCTGGAACTCCCAGTTCTTTTTCCAGGATCTCAGCTGGACAGACCTGGAGATCCTGCACAGTGCAGAGCCCAAGATTTAAGAGGCGCTCTGCTGTTTTAAAGCCAATCCCTGCGCAAGAAAGATAATTTGCTATGTATGTAGCACTTGAGGTATGCCAAGGAATCCAAGGCAGAAGAGTGGATGTGAACTGGAAAATGTGTATGAAACCAATCAATATACAGATACAGAACACCAAAGTAAAGTCTTCAAGTCATGCCTAATTCTAAATAACTTCATGAACATTCTCATATAGCTTTCTTGGCAACACTACGAAAGTGGCTTGCTACTGCTTTCTTATGAGTTTGGGGATTTCCCCACGCCTACCAAATTCCCAGTCTAGCCTACAGCCCTGGAATTGCCTGAAGGTCTCCCATCCAAGCATTAAGAAGGGCTGTCCCTGCTTAGCTCCTGATGCCTGATGAGGTCATCAGGCATCAGTACCTCCCTTTCCATCACTCATGGCCCCTTTCCTTACAGCAATGGGACATTTTAACAGCAACATAAATGGGGGGCTACAAGCTAACCGGTGGGCAGCTGGAGCCCAAAGAGCCTGAGACCACCCCTTTTCTCTCTGACACCTTGTTGACTTTCCCCTTCCAGTATTAGGCTTGTGCAAAGCAGATTTAATTGCTCTGGCTAACAGTTTTGCACCATGTGGGTTGTTGACTGTCTCTTACTTCTCCCCCACCTGCAGAAACCAAGAGGCGTCTGCACACGTACTCCTCAAAGGCTGCTTCCAGGGACTGTAAGCAATGCGGGAAGAGTCAAAGCAATGCAGCTGCTGTGTGTAGGCCTTCATCAAAGCCAACCACCCTTGGAAGATTTGCACAGCTCTAGCAAATATCCTTTTACATCCTCTCTAACATTCACTTCTCCCCCTCTCCCCCCTTTTTTGCATAGCAGCTTGCTAGACAAATCACTCTCGCAGGGGTTAAAATGAAGTTCACGCAGAGGCTGCAAGATGCCCGATTTCTCCTTTCAGCTATATGCCTGCATGCATGCAAGCAAAGAAAAAGCAAGGATTTTTTTTCCTCATCTTACCCAGTATTTTCCTTATGTTGTCAAGGCTGGCCATCAGGTTCTGACGGCTCTCAGGCAGGAGAATTGTTTGCTGATTTGGTTTAAAGGTCCCAGAGACCAGCTTGGAGAGGAATTTATTGGTGGCCACTCCTGCACAGCCCGTGAGCCTTAGCTCGCTGTACATGGCATCTCTCATCTCCTCTGCAATCTGAGATCCCACAGCGAGCCTTATGTGCATCGGGTCGTGTAAATTGATAGCTGCGAAGCCAAGAGAAAGAAATTTGAAGAGGCCACCTGATAGACCCACCCTTCTTATGCAGCCCACAAACCCCTACATGCTAAAGGAAAACCTTTCCCTCTGCCAGGATACCAATCGCGGGGAAACAGGCACTGCAGGTTACATGCTTCCAAATGCTAATAATGGGTTATCCAAACGCAATATGGAACTGAAATGGATAAGGATTCTTTCTGTGGCTGGGGCCCATGCTTTTTAAAATAGGTATGATTTTCAAGGCCAGCTAAAAGCAGAGCTGAAATCTTCCCATTTATTTCCTTAAGCTACAGAGCCTTAAGGAAAGTTAAGTGGAGTTTCTGTCAAGTTCACCTTCTGATCGCTTTGCAGACTAGTTTATATAGGGGTTTTCTGGCAACAATAAAGAAGCCATTTATTTAACCTCTAAACAGGGTCAGACCCTGTTAATTAAACTCTTTCCCCAGAGATGAGGTTGGCCCCCACTCTCCCAGCCTTCTGGAAAGGACTGGAGACCTGGCTCTGCCAACTCACATGGGCCAAAAGGGGATATAACCAACCCTGGGGGTGGCTAGCACCTCAAAGATGCTCCCTGAGACTAATAACTCCTTGGAAGGTATTTATTATTTATATAGGAAGTCTTCTTGTAATGTATTTTAATTCATATTTATTCTTTTTACTGTAAACCACCCAGAGTCGCTCTGCAGTGAGATGGGCGGTGACAGGCACTGCAGGTTACATGCTTCCAAATGCTAATAATGGGTTATCCAAACGCAATATTTTGAATATTTTAATTTGAAATATAAATAAAACAAATTCTTGGGTTGGGGGCCAACAGAAAATCCCAGGACTCTGGGATAGACTAGGAAGATGGAAAAACATCCTGGAAGAACCCAATGGCAGCCCACTTCTTAACTGTAGCCAGGAAAATTACACGGACATGTCTGTGAAGTTGCCAGAAGATGAGCTTTGACTCAAAGAAAATGTGGAGTCCTCTATAAGAACTGTCATTATCCTGGGATTGTTTTCATGACCAGAAGGTGGGACAGAAATTGCTTCACAAATAAGTAAATGTGAATCTTATTTTATGTGGCATTATCCTCAAACTGAGCCAGCACAAAGTCGTTCTGGCGTAGCTGCAGTTTCAGTAAACTACAATTCAAGATCTTTTTCAAACTATATGACACTTACAAGCAAAGGTTCCTGTGATGAGTAAGAAAACGAAACATGCTTAAGAGGGAACGCAGTTTGCTATGCAGTTTAACCAGACAAAAAGATAAAGCTAAGCAAGGTCATGAATAAAACAAAAAAAGAAGAACTAACATAAATAGCAGATTCGCTCCTCCCAATAAAACAGGGCTATACGTTCATTTGTCGAGCCTGGGTGTCATCCTGTACTGCAAATGCTCTTTGTGTTATGCAACATAGCATTATTATAGGATCTGGACTGCAACAGCTGACATTTTAGTAAAAAGAAGTACTTACTCTGATTATTAAATACATGACCACAAACAGAGATTTTAGAAAAATCTGCTTTTTTCCACTCTATCAGTCTCTTTTCTACTAATTCAGTGATGTCCACAAAATTTTCATCAAATCCGAGCCTTTCTACCAGTGGAGTAAATGTTTTTAACAGTGCTGAAAATGTTAAAAAAAAAATAATATATATATATATATATATATCATGTTAATATGTGGTACAAGGTGAAGAGGGCAAGTACACTGCAAACTTTTTAAATATACAAAATATCCATATTATTCTTATTCTTTCAAGTAATAAGTAATCACAGCAATGAAGTTACTAAATATATAAAAACAACCCAAACACCTTAATAAGCTAGGGATATTAAGGGCCACAATTGGGCTGAATCCATACAACATGCTACAATCGCAAACCGAAGTAGCTGAATTCACACAAACGCCCAGCCCTCATCCGAGCAAACCATATTCTAGTTTAGTGCTATACGAAGTGTAACATGCTACGACGTAGGTCTCTACTATTCTGATCCATACACACCTATAGGAGACATGACTAACTAAATGTATTACATACAAACTACAGGACCATCTTGGTATACATTAATTAATTAATTAAATTTATATGCCGCCCATCTCCCCCAGAGGGCGACTCTGGGTGGCTCATAATTAAAATGCCAAACAGTAAAAACAATAAAAATATAAATATCCATATTAAAACAATGAATAACATTTCTGTATAAAAAGGCTATCTACGCTTCAAGAGGATGGCCATGTTTTCACGCTTTTTCGGAAGGCCAGGAGAGTGGGGGTGGCCCGCACCCCAGATGATAAGCTGTTCCACAGGGCGGGGGCCACAACAGAAAAGGCCCTCTTCCTAGACCCCGCCAGCCGGAATTCCTTGACTGGTGGGGTCTGCAACATGCCCCTTCTGCCGGACCGAGTGGGGCGGGCGGATATAATGGGGGCGAGGCGGCTCCTCATCTAACCTGGTCCTAGGCCATGAAGGGCTTCAAAGGTGATAACCAACACCTTGAATTGGACTGGGAACCAAACTGGCAACCAACGCAGCTCGCGTTAATACCACGCCTTTCTAGACATGCTGAAAAAGGAGGTCTGTGCAAAGCTCTGGAGGGTGTTTTGCTACAATAATGGCTTGCGTGAAGCCAGTCTTGAAAGGAACTTTGCAAACCAATGCTTCCCTTCCACCGTTTTTTTTTTTTTAAAATGCAAATCTGCTACATTGCTTTGCTCTGCTCTAAGGCCTTGTCCGAGAGCCAAAAGATGCTTGCTAGAGGAATCTACAGTACTGGAAACACTGATGCTGCTCCTTTAAGAATTGGGCCCATCTAGGTGGTCTAGTATCCCATGAAAGCAAATCAAGCCACCTTGCCCAGGTCTAAGGAAATGATGATACAAGGATTATTGCTCAAATCTGATGTTCATCAATACTTCACAGAAAGCTTGACTGCATTAGGCTCAAGAGTAGTTATTGAGCATTAACATGGTTCACACATAAATATATAATCAGATAAATGAATCCTAGTGCCTGGGAAGTCAAACTCTATAGATCCAATCACATGGGATACAGACCAGCTTCATAGGAGACATCCTGGCGTACAGCTAAGAAGAGAAGCTTTCTGGAGACTGCAGTCTTGTTTGGGGAGAGTTTTAGGGAATCCACGCTAGAGTTTTGCTATCATTCAGAAGAGTTTATAGCATGTAACTTTATTAATTTATACAAGGTATAGGCCATTTCTATCTAAAAAGAGCCTATAAAGGTACTATGTTCAAAGCAGTAATTGGTTTGTGAGTTAGCCTGATATGTGAATCTAGCTCTTGTGGGTTGAAAAACCTGGTTTATGGGCTTAACACAATGACTTGGTTCACAAAACATCAATTATGTGCCATCAGGTCACTGTCAACTCTTAGTGACCACATAGATTGTTCTTTATAACAATATGTTATGATTACAAAAAAAGAAAAAAACAGAAAAACTGGACCACAAGCTAGCTAGACACATTTTAATCTAGCATATTTTTTTTAAGGCTGAGCGGTTAGTTTAGTACATTGTGCAAATCCAGAAAACTGAGTTGAACAAACTATGACTAAGTTAATCAAGGGTGAGCCAGCTGTGCAAATGCGGCCACAGTGTGTACTAGCCCCTTGGGTTTTATTCCATTTTCCATCTAATTGTGATTACAGAACTTTCACCTACAGAGATCTGCTTTAGAAACCTCTTTCTTCAGCTGTCCCTATTTTACTTTAACAATGTAAATTTAATTTAATTTAATTTAATTTAATGTAAATGTAAAAAAATGTAAATGTAAATAAAAAAATGTAAAAGCAAGCATCTGATAAGCCCTATGAGGTCCATGTTCTCTCTGACCGTACAGGTTTACCATGTGTTATGATTTTGTAAGGTTTAACCTCCTGCTGAGTCATCCTAAGTTTTATTTTTACTTTGGAAAGGTGGAGATACAATTTTCATCTTTCTCTCACTCTCTCTCTATACATACACATACACAATGAAATAACACCCAATTGTTGAGATGTCTTTGGAAGACAATGATTCTTTTGACCCCAAACAAATGCCATTGTGAGATGACTCTATGACTATTTCCTCAGTTTACATCTCCTGGGCACCCTTCTGAAAAAATCATTTTAGACAGAGTCTCAAAATGGAACATGACATCTGGTTTAAGCAAATCTGATATTGGGTTTCCATCCTGGGGTCAAAAGGAACAAGCACTGCTGAAAGGAACAAAAACAAGAGAGGAAATACGCTTGCTAACTTGGCCATCTGCAGAACCTGCTTTGAGCAGAAAGACTCTTTGCTGAGAAATCCATCTGCACTTAACAGACAATACATCAGAACACAGTCCTATGACATCACTCCTACAGAGTAAATTGCTCAAGAGGATCTTCTGTCTCCTGGCTTGATTACACATAGAGTAACAAAAGTGGGAGAAGAGAGTGGAATTTCTGGAGTCTTTCCACATGTACTTGTTTGCCCATAACCCCCTCATGAATGGCAGCATCAAGCTTAATAGAAAGTTGATGAAATACAAGTATCTGAAGAAGCAATATCACAGGATTCAGAACACATAGACTGGATTCACATATACTAATCCACCGCTTGCCAAACCATGATTTGAATAAGCTATACCTGGCTGGATTCACACAACATGTTAAGGTACAAATCATGGTTTACAACCTCAATGGCTAGGTTTACATATTATGTTACACGTTAGCAGAGTTTTTTTGCTTTGGATTTAACACAGGATGTCAACTCAGCCATTGTGGCTTATAAGTCATGCTTTATGACTTAGCACTGCATATGAAGCCAGCCTTCTGGTCTATTCACCAAGCCATGATTAAAGTAAGGAAGGGGTTGGTACAACGTAGAAATACTCTCAAAATACTAAGCCCTCTGGGCAGAGGGGATGTTGCAACCAAACCCAGGAAAATAAGCACATTATTTTCCAGCGCTACAAGGATAAGATTATCAAAGCAATACCTGTAACCCTGTAAGAGAATTCCCTGTATTTTGTTAGATCCTCTCCATTAACCAGCACCAGATCTGGACACTTTGCTTTTGCTTCTTCCACACCCATGCATTTTTTCACACCAACCTTCCTGGCTTCGTAATTGCAGGTGACTACCAGGTATTTCTGCTGCACACCTGAAAGTAAGTGCAAACATAGCAGTAAGAATCCATCTGACAATGGCTGTGTGCCAAGTACCTTTCAATATTTTTTTCACTTCTATTATTAGCAAAGCCTGCAATGCAACTTTATGTAAATTTACTCTAAGCTGCAATCCTGTCTGTTCAATGGAGGTGATTTCTTGATGCATTCAGTGTTGCAATGTTACCACTCTCAGGCTAGTTGGCTTCATGTGTCACACTAAGCCATGATTTATTTTAATTGTGGCTTATTGAATAAGCCACATTTCCTGGCTATATATCATGCTTGGCTTCACACATTGCAATAAGCCCCAAATCACATTATATAGCCAAAGACTGCTTTTGCAGCTACTGAAAATTTAAGCTCACATTAAAGACTCCCACCTTTGGCATATTTTGCGCAAACCTCTCATCTTCTAAAGTTGAATAGTGGAACTAAACCTGCACTTAAAATTTGCTGGGGGTAGCGGGGAGAGTGAGCAGGTCAGTGCTGCAAAATGGAAAGGGGGCCTTATCAGCCATAAAGGTGGGAGCGGAGTTTGCCTCTCCCCCCAGCTCCCAAGAAAAACAAGGCTAAAAAAACAACAAACTATGTTAACTTCTAGATTCCACACTAGTTTTGTATCTGTTTCCTGCTCAAAAGGTGGGAAACTCCTATTGTTGGTAGCTGGAGAGGACTCCAGAGGCTGCCCCCCCAAAAAGTGGGGGGAGGAATGGAGTTGCAGGTATCCTTAGGAGCCCAATTTGCCCATTTCTGTATTGAAGGATCAAACTAATGCATAATCAAAGGCTTAGCCCTGGCCAAATCCTGATTTGGAAAGTATAGTTAAGGACAGAAGTTCTTGGAGATCACTGCTTGCTTGTGCAATGAGAACAACTGCGGGTATTTAGAACGTACAAAATTTCTGAGGAATTGTTGTATCTTGCAGGCAGCACATACATTTAGTCTTCTAGTCAAGCACTTCTTAATAAAAGAAACCTCATAATATCTTACACTACTTAGCTTGTCTACATGCATGTGGGCTGCTGTCAATAGGTCTATTTGAGTGTATAAGCGTGTGTGTGCCATTGCGTCACTCTCGACTCCTGACAACTACAAAGAGAAGTTCATGAAGCTTTCCTACAACATTTTCAGAAGTGGTTTGTCATACTCTTCTCAAATAGCGGGGGTAGAAAACATTCTTCTCATTCCAACCCTAAAGCAGGCTATTCTCAGCGTTCAGAAGCAGCCCAACACTGAAATGGGCAATTCAGCTCTGATAGCTGTCAATAATATGACTGAAATTGAAAACACACACAGTTTCAGTTTGATTGAATCTCAGAACCAAATCCCCTTTCTGAATCAATTTGGAAAAAAAAACTCAGCCTTTTTTTTTCCAAATTGATTTGAAGCATCTGATTGGGTTGACTTGATCTTCTGACTCAAGCTGACATTCCGAATCAAGTAACTGAGTTGGATCACAGCCAATCTGCACACTTCTTTACTCCCACAACATACTATGCTATGACCTGCTGACCAGAATTTTACTAAATAAATAACAATCAACTAGATTAACAGAGCATGCTAAATCTTAAACTGTTGACTGGGGTCATATAATATATGAAGCCAGAACCAAATAAACCACATTATGGAACATGCGGTGTGAATCCTGTCCCCATGGTTAACTCAGCCAAAAAGGATTGCTAAACCAGCACAACAGTCAGCATTGCTATCTTGGTTATGATGGAAAACAAAAATATATGTTGCTTGTTTCCTTTTAACAAGAAGACAGTACAGGCACAGTCACCCTTTCAATATATCCCATGGAACAGCATTCACCATCAAAATTCTAAGATTACCTAAAGGTTTGCTTCTTAATTCAGGATTGTAGATCATTTCTACCTGGGCATAAAAACAGTCCAAATCCAGATGCACAATGATTCGGTTCCAAGCATTTCCAGTTGGCACAGGTTGGGCATGATAAGCTGCAAGAAAGATCAACATTCAGAAAAATCTGTGTCACATTACCTTTGTATAAATAAAATCCTATACTGGTTTATAGTCTGTTGATAAGAGCTTTCAGTTTAAAACATCACTCACTATAGTTAATATGTCGTTTTCTTCCCATCTAGCATCAAGCACCCTAAGGATCTTCTAAGATTCCAGAACACATTGGGCCAAAATAGGGTTGGCTGGTTTGTGGTCTAGGTGTTGTGTGAATCCAGCCGTAGGGTTAGTTTATTGTTCAGTGTGAATTGATCCTGGGCAACTGGGTTACTTTAGTAAATCATGGTCTGGTTAGCATGCACGTATTACCCTTTTCCACGGAGATGCACGCTGCAGCCTGCAGAATAATTCCCCATCTCTGTTTGCAGAGCACAAGGATTTACAATGAAGCCAACCGCATTTTGGCCAAGAGTACTGTGCAAACCAGCCGCTGTCATTAGTTTCTGCTTCAAAGTGTTGAGCAAATGAAGAAAATGGTTAACTATTAACCCAGTGTTTCTCAACCTTGGCCACTTTAAGGTGTATGGACTTCAACTC